GCCGTGGGCCGGAGCCTCCGGCAGTAAGCAGTCAGTTGGCGTTGCCAGCTGTGCAACAAAAAAAAACTAACGAAATGGGTACGGAAAGGCTGGGCACAACGCCCAACAGCAGTTCCTGCTCATTTGGAGCAGGACTCGCTGTGCGCGCCGCCGCGGCCCGTGTCCATTTGAGACAGAAGGCCGCCTGCCCAACAGCGGCCGCTGATGGTTTGGGACAACATTTGTTGTTGGGCATTGTGCCCATTTTTTTCGTACCCATTTCGGGCGTCCAAAACTGCAGAAGTGGGGTATCCCCCCCAGACTGATTGCCTCGTCGAGCTGACGGGGATTGAACCGTGGAATGCCCGTCGATCCACGGTGCATGCCACGTAAATATTTTTTGCAGCCTCGACACGACTTTTTGGGGTTAATCTGTTCTGCAGTGGATCCTCTATTCGAGTGCAGGGGTTCCAGAGCGGTGAGCACACACACACAGACATACATACACACACGCACGCGCACGCACACACATACATCCCCAGGCATGCTCGCGTCGTGGACACAATCACGACGAACGGCTTTTGGCCGTTGATGGCCTCCCTTGGGGCCTCGCCAGGTTTGGGGGGATCGTCAAGGAACGGCTCGGGATGAAAAGGCGGCCCTGGGGAACGGGCCAGGACTTCTGGAGACCCCATACGGTCGGACCGAGGTAGAAGATCGAGATCGGCTCGGGAAGGGTACCCTGATGTCCTTCGTGCTTGTTGGACCATCTTGTGCGTCTTGGGGGGTGGTACCCTCGAGTGATCCTATGGCTTGGGGATGGTTTGGCCGGCGGCGGGCCTCACTTGTTCTTTAAGGATGCTCGTCTGTCCGAGGGCAGTCCGTGCTGCAAGAAGCCGGACGTCGCGTGTCTCTGCATCGGCGCTCTGAGCCTCCGCGGGGCGGGCCGTCCGGATCCACCGGAGCGAGGCAGGGCTGGACGGGGCCAGGGCGAGGACGGATCCGTGCCGGAGCGTTCCCGAACGCTCCCCGAGGCTTCCGGAACGCTCTGAGAAGGCCGCGCGCGCCCGATGCATCCTCCAGAGCCGCCCGATCTCACACATTCTCGACTGGGAGCCGGCGTTAAACTGTCAACCAGGTTACCGCCGGGACCCTCGTAGAGCTCTCAAGACGCAAATTTGTGCTTAGATTACGAGGACAGAGCTTCCTTCAATATCAGCTGAAAAAAACTCCAGAATGTATTTTTTCGGGTTTGATACGAGCCGCCCGATCTCGCACATTCTCGATTTACCCTCACCCGATGGCATCCTCGCCCTGGCTTCCCCTTATTGGGGGGAGGGGGTGCAGACCCCGGCCGGACGGGGACGAGGAGGGCCGGAGGAGGGAGCGTGTCGAGCCGCCTCCGCGCAGATCTGGAGCCCTCAGCCGAGGGAGGGAGGGGGGGAGGGAAGGGGGGGGGGGGGGGGAGCATCGAGGATCGAGAGGGTCGGTGAGGGAAAGCAGGGGAGGCGGCCGAGGAAGGAAGGGAGGGCGATGGAGGAGCGGAGGATCAGGGAGGATCAGGGAGGGAGAGGGGGGAAGGGACTGCGCCCGAGAGGCTCTCGAGGTTCGCGCGAGAGCCTGGGAATCGGAGGAGGGCCAGGTGAGACTAGTTCCTAAGCGCTCCGAAGCGCCCCCAAGCGCTCCCAGGCGTTCCCAGGCGCTCGCAGGCGCTCCCAGGCGCTCGCAGGCGCTCCCAGGCGTTGCCAGGCGCTCCCAGGCGCTCTCCCGCGCCTGGGCCAAATATCCGCTCAAAATCGGCCCGCTGTGTCGACCAGAGCGCCTCCAGGCAGCCCAAGAGGGACGAAACGTCGCCGACCCGGACGGCCGATGTCTCGACTTTTTCAACACTATGCCCCCAGCAGTTCAGGAGGGAAACAGGGGCAGAGACCCAGACACACGTCGATTCCCGCGAACATCGGGAAACTATGGGATGTGGAGGGGAAGACGACCATTTACGCCGGAGAAATCCTATGATCTGTGTATGTGTATTTGTGTGTCCCTGTGTCCTCAGATGTCCCTACCTTCTCTTCCCTCCCCCCCCCAGCAGGGCATGTTGGCGCGAGCCTTCCGGCGTGAGCCCTCACGACGCGAGGAAGCACGGCGGGGGCGTTGGTCCAGGCATGCTCCGAGGCCCGAAACCCATCACGTCACTAATTCTGGGCCCCAGGGCCCACTGAGGCCCCAGGGGCCCCAGATTAGTGAAGTGACGTTTTCTTCCACGGAAGGACCCCGAAATCCATCACTTCACTAAACCGAGCCCAGGGCGAAAGTCAGGGGCCGAATTGCTGTTGTGATGCAACATCGGCCTCGTAAATGCGCCCAGGAG